ACCTATCAGATGAATTAGAGCGGATACCGAGAGACAGGCCTTCTCGTCCAACATCAGAGGGCGACCTCAAAAATGCGCTTCTGGAAGAATGGTCAAAAATTCCCATAAACACACTCCTAAACCTTGTGGACAGCCTTCCCAGAAGAGTTGAAGCTGTTCTAGCTGCAAAGGGTGGACCGACGTCATATTGAACCCTATGGATTAGGAACGGGATGTCACTTAAGCTCATATGTGAGTCAAGGCAGGTGAGCAAATACTTTTGGCAATATAGTGTATGTTATGCCTTATTCCAAATGGCATTCAATTAAACTCTTTTCCCAGATTTCTGCACAAAATATCTCACTATGACAATAGGAAAAAAGTTCTAAGAAATTGTTTAAAATGTTGTATTTTAATTTGCACATCTTCCAGTTATCCTGGCCAGCTCCTCTGGGGAAAGCCGGAAGGGTTTCAGGGTCAGTTGTTCCGGGCATAAGGGCCAAAATGTGCCCTTATGCCCTGAACAACTGACCTGGTTGTCCCCCCTGTCTGGGGTGTCACTTATTGGACATTGGAACATATTGTGTGTGTTGCAGTTCAATGTGAGGGTGATATTCATTCTGGTGTGATGTTATGTTGAGTGTGACATTATGAGTGTCAGTATGTGTAGGCCTGAATAAAAAAATAAATAAAACAGATGAAGATGAGAAAGATTAGTAAAAAAAAAAGGGGGAAAAAACACTTAATAAATGATTTATGAAACCTTAACTAATCATGAACTGAGGGGATGCAAGTGAACCACCTGACTGACTCATGCATTAATATAGGGTCAAAAAGGTTTCCAAACTGCAGTAGTACTATCCCTGCTGTTGAATTTAGACAGCATACATTCATAAGAAAACATTTATTAGTAAACATTTTACAATGACAAACACTATTCTATTTCATTTCAGTCTTTCTGTCTAAAAAATATAATTTAACATACCTTTAGTCAGGTTTTGATTATTGTGCCTCAAAATGGCACCTCGTTCTTTGAAGGGAGGCAAGTATGCTACTAGTTCCTGTGCATATGGGTTCCAATTTTGTGAATCATTCTCCATTAAGTCTCTTGCCCAGTCTTGTCTTGGTTCTGGCATTTTCATTTTGTTATCATAATAAGCCATCAAAACATCATCAACAGCTGCATATACGATATATTCTGGGATATTGGGATATCCAGAGGAAAGCATAAAATGAATTGTCAGGGAGTGTTTCTCTGAAAGAAAAAAAAGAAACAAAAACCACAAATGAAGCAATAGCAGTTAGTCTGTAAGCTTTAGGTTTTTGGAAATAGATAAATGTTTCTATCTTTACTGCCTTCAAAAGCATAGTCATCTAGAAAAAGCACAGACATAGGCAAGGTTGGAAATGTGCTGTTTATCCCACTGTCTTCAGGAAAATGATACAATCCAAAACAAATAAACTTAAAAACCATTTCTTTACTAAAGCTGTAAGTTTAGTTGTCTTCTCTTTGTCAGATACTCACATCACATCTCAGCTTCACAAGAAAATAAACACAAACACACACAAGTTGTGTCACACTATCCTTTTGGGGACTCTCCATTGTCTCTTCTATTCATATTGCATTCATTTCTATTGCCTAAATTGACCTATGCCCTATCCATTACCAACACATACTTAACCCTAAACCTAACCTAAACTAATTTCATTCTTTACTGTAGTCCTAAACCTAACCCCCACTCCAAGAACACAACTTCTTCTCACGAGAACCAGTCGTTGGTTCCCAAAACTACCTATAAGACCCCAGAATGTAGCATATTTCAGGGAAATTGTCCCCATAAGGTAACAAAATACATGCCCCCCCTCTTCATATACAGACAAAAGATGATGACACCGCTAATGACAATTTAGACAACCAGTTTATATAGCACTTTAATAATTAAGGTGTTTAATATTGCTTACTTTTCTTTTTCTATAAGTGTTTCTAATCTTTGTGTCTATGTATTGCATTCTGAGCTGCATTTCTCAACAGAATTTGATTAGGGTCTCATAATGAAATGAAAACTGTAATTTGACAAAAATTTGTCTTTAATAAATTCTTACCTAGTCTGTTTTGGAAGGTCTCCGACCTTGCTCACAATCACAATATCTGCCTGTGGACCCTTGGACTGTTAAGCAGTCAAACACAATATATGCAGATGAGCATGTAATCCTGCTCCCTGAGTTTATAAATACAAGTGTGACAAGAGCCTACCCCTTTTCTGTACTGATGACTACCCCTTCACCCAAGGCCTGAAAAAATGGGAACATTTCTATAGCAGTTGACTAAAGAATTGGAAGCAAGAATCAGAAGCCAACTTCAGCTTCATGCTCTACGGCTCTTTCTAAAACAGAATTTTCAATGATAATATCATGAAGGGTAATTATCTTCACAATCCTTTCAAAAATGCAATAATAGCAACTTAAAATACCATCTTATGACATAGTTTCTGTTCATGAAACCCATCTAATTGTTGCTAGCCAAACAAGCAGGCAGCCAGGGACCAGAAGGAAGACTAGAGGATTTTTGGTGCCTGTCAATTGGTCCAACCAGCTGGTGCTGATTGGCAGTGTTGTGCATGAATGCTTTCAATGAAAAAGCTTACATTTTAATTTATTGTTACCAAAATAAATTAAGATTAAATATGTTTTAAACCCAATAACATAGCTAAAATATAGGATTGCCCTCTAAAATCAACAGTTCTTCATGTGACAGCTCTCATAAAATCTTAGTTTTAATACTGACATTACCTGGTAGAGAAAAACTAGCTAACAACAGAATGAGTCATACTCTTTTTATAACCTGCTACTCTGATGATTTTGTGAGTGAAGAACAGAGTAATCAAATAATCTACAGTCAAGTCAAGAAAAGTAAAATAATAATGATAATGATAATAATAATAATAAATGAAAATACCACAGCAAGCTGTTTTTGCCTGAGTATATTCTTAAAACCAAAGACTGGACTTCAAAAAACACAAATTCAGCTTTTTTTATAAACAGGTTAGCAATGGAAAATAGAAGATTTTAGTGTAAATCATGATCTTACCTGAAAATGTGGCTTCATAGAAGATAATAAATACAACAAACCGGAACATTTTGTTCAGAGCTACAACTGAGCTAAAATGATAGTGTTGTACTTCCTTATTCATTGCTAAGACATTTCCTAGCTTGGTTGTTTTTAAGTAGGCGTAGTTAAACAAGAAATTGTTAGGTAACTGTTGTTTGACTGGTAGAACTTGTCAGGATGAGTGATGAAGGAAGAATGTGTATCTCAATAAGACTGCTATGCCGATGATTGAAGTGAGATCAGGTACACTGTACACACCCAAACATTTGCTTACCCATTTAAATGATTGGAATCAGGGGTTCCAATCACTTTCAAGGCCACATGTGTGTAAAATGAAACAACAAGGCCTGCAGACTGTTGTTATTTGTGAAAGAATGGTTCACTCTTATGATTTTAGTGTATTCCAACATGGAACTGTGATTGGATCACACCTGTGCAACAAATCCAGTCATGAAATTTCCTTGCTCCTTAATATTCCACAGTCTAATGCATGAACTGAATAGCGTAAAAAATATTCTAGGGACATTTCATAAAATTTGCTATTTATGAATATTAATCTTGAAGTGATTATACAATTTTAGTATTTATCTTAATAGAAACACTACAAAAGCAAGTAGTGTTGTCGGAAAATTTTTATCTTTCTTCTATTATATATTAATATTCATATTTACTCACTATAAAAGTTTTCACTCAGTCTGTTTCTCTCTCAAGGCCACACCATTCCCTGCAGAATGTTATTTGTAGACCAGACATAGCTTCTTCCCATAACAATCCTGATTCTTTCTCAAGGTTTATTCATAACATGTTACTGTTAAGCAAAGTGTGTGTAATTTGTTATGACTCTGACTGCTTTCCATTGTTGTAAGTAGGGGGGAACGGACCTTGCCCAGATCAGAACAGAGCAGTATGCTATGCCATGAAGGCTTCATGATGATCTGTTCTCTCTTTGCAAAGATTTAATAAATGTGCCGACTGAGTGAAATCCATCGATCTCCGTTTATTTACTAGGAAGAATAATTTAATACTTTTTTCCCACGACAATTTGGCGTTGTCAATGCAGGATTCTCTTTGGCTGATTTTTTCTGAGGACAGCGATTGTCAGAAGTGTCAGGAACCACCTGGAGGAAGCAGTCTTCCAGCCTCGATACCCCGTTAGAAGGTTAAGGGAGTGAGGACTTTTGGCATCGAGGTCCCTGGAGGTCAGCAGGAGGTAAGATTTTAGTGTAAATCATGATCTTACCTGAAAATGTGGCTTCATAGAAGATAATAAATACAACAAACCGGAACATTTTGTTCAGAGCTACAACTGAGCTAAAATGATAGTGTTGTACTTCCTTATTCATTGCTAAGACATTTCCTAGCTTGGTTGTTTTTAAGTAGGCGTAGTTAAACAAGAAATTGTTAGGTAACTGTTGTTTGACTGGTAGAACTTGTCAGGATGAGTGATGAAGGAAGAATGTGTATCTCAATAAGACTGCTATGCCGATGATTGAAGTGAGATCAGGTACACTGTACACACCCAAACATTTGCTTACCCATTTAAATGATTGGAATCAGGGGTTCCAATCACTTTCAAGGCCACATGTGTGTAAAATGAAACAACAAGGCCTGCAGACTGTTGTTATTTGTGAAAGAATGGTTCACTCTTATGATTTTAGTGTATTCCAACATGGAACTGTGATTGGATCACACCTGTGCAACAAATCCAGTCATGAAATTTCCTTGCTCCTTAATATTCCACAGTCTAATGCATGAACTGATAAATCCAGGTATGCCTGACCTCAGTAAACATGGCCAGACTCACTTGGATTCATAATTTAATCCAGTAATGAAAGACAGGACACAAAGGAGCTGCCTTAAGTTCAGGAAGTAGTGGAGTACTTATGACATTACCGCACACTCGGCTCATCTGGACTTGCATGCCATCTTCAAGAAATAATGGTCTCTAGATTATAATAAATTCTTACTTTTTTCATCTCGTGGGGGAATAATGCTAAACACAGTCGTTTTGCCAAATACAGTAAAACAGTTTTTTTTTACTTATTCACTAAATCAGTAAATGGGCCGTATAGTTAAGCATAATAGCATAATCTCCCCACCTCAAATAATAATAAAACATACTTTTGTAGAAAAACACCAACAGAAGAGTGAACTTTTAACTAGTTAGCTGCCAGTCTGGAGAAGAGAAAATTCAGCTCTGATGCATGCTCGGTAAAGAGGGAGGGGCGAGAACAATATCCAAGGGCTTTGTCCGTTCTTGATCTTGTGTTCTTGTGAATTGGAACTCTGTTGGTGCGGAGGCTGATGTCGTTTCATGATCACATGAGAATGCCCAAATATGGATATTGAGAAATGGCCAGTGTGTGACTGACTAAACTTCTATGTAAAAAGGCAATGCAAGGCAAGTTTATTTGAATAGCATAATTCCGTACAAATACACTCCAAAGTGCTTTACTTGAATTAAACAATAAAACACAAAGAAAAAAAACCCCACACAAAATAAAAGTAATAAAGCAATGGAGATAAAACATGTTAAAAGCAGGTAGAAAAGCAAATAAAACAGTTGGACATTTTATTAGAAGAGATTACTCATTGATTGTCTATATATGCAGGGGTCCAAGAATTTTCAGCCTAGGCTTCAAACTTTGTAACTATATCGTGACAGTTTCCTCTGCCAATGGGGTTCATTCTGTAGAGCTTTGGTTTCTAATCAGCCACTAAGAGCGTTTCCCAATGAGGGGTGTTTTGTCCAATCATGTGCATAGCCAGGCCCGTTGCAACAAAGCAAGCAAACCATGCAATTGCCTAAGGCCACCAGACATTGCCTGACCTGGTTATAAACTGCATCTGTTGAATAACAGTATGAGCACCAATGTTTTCTCAAAGCTGTGCGCTCACGCTATTGCACACCGCTCATATGTTCTTGGCACACAATAAAATCTATGCAGCACATAAAAAAATCCAAGAATAACTGTGTATTAATTAGACCAATATTTTTTTGTTCTTTTTATCTTTTTTAATCCATGTACAATATCATTCATTTTACAACCTGAAACTAATGATGAAAATATGAGAAACAGCTGTCGTCCCCAACGAATTTCATTACATAATACGGAGAACCGGAGCCCAGTTGTTGCCATGCCACATTAAAATATAGCCATATAGTAAAAACTGAAAAAGGAATTTATTTTTGTCATGGTCGTGGTTCTGCTGTTCTTTTCTTTGCTCCTTGTTTTCTAGATTTATTAGCCTAATTCCAGTTTTGTTGTATTTCTAGATTTATATTAGTTCTCAAGTTTTTCTGTTGTCCTCTTTTGCCCTCTTGTGTGTGTATGTTCCTTTCCCCTTGGCTCCCTCGTTGTCTTCTTCTTCTTCTTCTTCTTNGTGAAATAATAAAACAGTAATACAGGTTATTATGCAAAGCAATGGCATGTTACAATCATCAGGTTTATATTTACAGAATACAAGAATAATCGATACTTGTGTTGTCTTCTTTCCTGTTGAAAAAATCAAAAATATAGTTCTTTCACTTCAGGCATCTGTCCTTGGCTTTTAAAGGCATGAAGACAGGATCACTGGTTCCCGCCTTTAGTATTTTGCTGGCGGAAGTCGAAGGTTTGCAGTCTAATGCCTGGGGTCACATGTCTTTACAATCCATCCCCTCAAAATGAGTAAGACAGAAAAACCACAATTAGTGTTCTTATCAGTAAATATCAACTACCGTATTTTTACGACCATAAGGTGCACCGTACTGAAAGGCTCAGTCTCAATTATGTGTGCCATTACTGTATTTAACACACACATAAGGCGCACCGGATTATAGGGCGCGTTTGTTTATATACAGGTACATGTCCTCTACTACGTTTAAATACCTCTACTGCATATTTAAAAATAGAGCGGGAGCAAAACTAAGTATGACTGTGCTTTATTCATGTATTTATTACAAAGTATTAATCAAACCTGGGAGCTGGTCGTGAGACATTCCTATTGTCGTGCCCCGCTGGTATGTGGGGGTCTGAGCGGCACCGACAGAACTAATATTAGAAGGCAGGATGATAATCTGGATGAACTGACTGCAATGCATATTAAAACTACTTTATTCCCACTGATCAGAGCAAATATAGCTGCAAGGTGTATTTATTACAAAGTATTAATCAAACCTGGGAGCCGGCCATGAGAGACACATCGCTGATGACACAGGGCTGTGATCACTCCTCTGAAACAGTTTATTGACCCATAAATTAGCTTAAAATCCTGAAACCTGCCGACAGAATATGTTCGCTTTTATTATCCTATTATCCTTTTATAATCCTTTTGATTATTTAGATGAAAAACACCTGCCAGCCGCCGCGGTGAACTCGGAGGCGACCCGGCCCAGAGGCTGCTGGTGAATTAAGTTTTCAGGTAGAAAAATAGAGCGGGAGCAAAACTGAGTGTGATTGTGCTTTATTCATGTATTTATTACAAAGTATTAATCAAACCCATCAAATTCATCATTATCTGTTTCTGAATTAAATAGCTGCGCTAAATCAGACATGCCAATTTCCCCTTCTTCGCTGTCAGAGTCACTTTCCGTGCTGGGCGGCTCCTCGGAAATGATGCCGGCTTTTGCAAAAGCTCGAACAACAGTGCCAGCGCTGCCTTCCACTTTTCGTGGAATTATTCTGCCGGCAGAATATGTTCGCTTTTATTATCCTGCTGCCTGCAGTTTAAATTGTACCAGTTAGTTCTGACGTGCGGCTGAAGCAGCTTTGCCGGCAGAATATGTTCGCTTTTATTATCCTCCTGCCTGCAGTTTAAATTGTACCAGTTAGTTCTGACGTGCGGCTGAAGCAGCTTTGCCGGCAGAATATGTTCGCTTTTATTATCCTGCTGCCTGCAGTTTAAATTGTACCAGTTAGTTCTGACGTGCGGCTGAAGCAGCTTTGCCGGCAGAATATGTTCGCTTTTATTATCCTGCTGCCTGCAGTTTAAATTGTACCAGTTAGTTCTGACGTGCGGCTGAAGCAGCTTTGCCGGCAGAATATGTTCGCTTTTATTATCCTGCTGCCTGCAGTTTAAATTGTACCAGTTAGTTCTGACGTGCGGCTGAAGCAGCTTTGCCGGCAGAATATGTTCGCTTTTATTATCCTGCTGCCTGCAGTTTAAATTGTACCAGTTAGTTCTGACGTGCGGCTGAAGCAGCTTTGCCGGCAGAATATGTTCGCTTTTATTATCCTACTGCCTGCAGTTTAAATTGTACCAGTTAGTTCTGACGTGCGGCTGAAGCAGCTTTGCTGCGCGGTGCAAAAGTGTGTCTGACGCGCGTTGGGCGGAGCTATCCTATCCTTTCTTTGCCTTGCAGCTATATTTGCTGTCCAGCAGCAAAACTTCAATTTTTCCATCTCAAGCAGCAGCAGCGCGTTGGCGGCGCGTCAAGCGTATCAGATGCTTAAACGCTCCCGGCACGCTGTGCCTGCTGCTCAAAAAGCGCTGCGGGACCTTTTGCTGCACCCATACTCGCATCAACCATTGACTTGCATGTAAACTCGCTGCTTCTGCTGCGTCCGGTTCACACCGATGTCAAGCGGTTGAATAACTGCAAGCACAGCATTCATTTGTTTCACCATGTTTTTCACATCAGCTGTGAGATGGGCACGCATGGAGTCACAGATTAACAGCGATGGTGATGAGTGGAAAAAAACCACCTGGTCTCCTTACATTCAGCCACTCTTTCATCATCTCCTCAATGAGGAGATGAGGAGTTCTGCATGGTGCATGGTGGTCTCAAAAGTCAGCAGTAACAACACACATAGGGCGCACCGCACCAAAGGGCGCGCCGCACATTTTGAGGGGAAAAAAAGACGTTTATATGCGCCTTATAGTCGTGAAAATACGGTAATCATAGAAAATAATATTCATATTATTCCAATCCTATTGTAGTACGTAGTGTTTGACTTATCTAATTCAGTTGGAGAAGGATCCCATTCCCCCCTGTGATGCTTCCGTCTCATCTGGTCCTCTCGGTCGTCCATCTGCTGGTCGCTCCTTGGAGTTGCATTCTTTCGACGTGTAGCTAGAGTTCTCTGGTCCTCCTTTCCTTTCATTACTCTTTGATGTACTTCCCTTATTATTTGAGTTCAGTCAGTCTGCTCCTTGGTTGTCCTGGTCCCGCATATTGTTCATGTGTGCATGGCTTATGCTGATCCAGAGTGAGGGCAGTCCTTATCCCAGTGTCCTTAAATCTCTATTTCTGATAATAGTGAAATAAATCATGTA